CTGCATGGAGGAAAAAAGCATTTGACGGACACTCTGCCAGAAAAACTGCACCTTGCGCCTTTAAAAATAAGAAAAAAACAAAAGTTACAGGTCAAATCTGTGGAGAGGCGACCCCAATCAAGGTCAGAATACGTTTTTTCGATGGATTTTTGAGCTATAAAACCAATTTAATGCAATTTAATATATGCAAACTAGATTTATTTAATGTCAAACTGTGGAACATTTGAAGCAGAGCAGTGACATAACCATAGAAACAAGATTGGGACTAGTGTTGGGTATCATTAAGAAGTTGCCGATACGATACATATCTCGATACACTTTCGGTTCAATACGATATATTTCAAATGGATTTGATACGGTTCAATAAAAAAAAAGTCTAAATCATGGCTGTGATACTAAAAGTCTTTGTTAAACCACTTCTTGTGCAAAATTCATATGAAACACGAATATTTTAATCATCAAAACGTGAAAATATCACATTTGTCGCATAAACGAGTTTTCTTCGTCTAAACAAGCAACAAAACTGTAGCGCTGAAACAAAATAATATAGTTAAATATGCCAAAAAATACTCAGTCCCCAATATCATCACATTAAACGATACGATATATCGATATTTTGATATTTTTGGACACCTATAATGGCAACGGAACCCCAACCAAAAAGTTACACAGTGCAGCTTTAAGACCCACATTTTACTTTTTAGATTTTAATATTAAGTTTTAAAATATTAAGATTCTGTTCTGAGTTCACATTTGAAACTCGTCCAGGAGAATTGACAAAAAGACTGAAATATGAGCTGAATGCAGTACTTACTTCAGGATTTGCCAATAGTTTTATGCTGAAAATGAGTGTCTAAAAGTGTTTCTAAAAGTGCAAAAAAATAAATAAAGTGATAAAAAAAATCTGTATCGAGTATCGAGGCTGTTCCTTCGTATCGAGAATCATAAAAACACCAGAAACGACTTTTGTTTTGAGTTGATTTTTAGCATTTTCAGTCCCCTTTCACGATTTATCAATTGCGTCCACTCAAATTTCAATTCAGCCGCGATTAATCTTGCATCCCCGTTGGACCCATACACTTCGGAGAGCCTGTTTCTCAATAACAGCTGATTGTGGCCCATCATGAGTCATGGCGTGGGCTTAAATTTGACTGTAGACACTGATCGTCTCGGATTGGAGAGCGGAGAGAGAGGAGAGACAGAGAGGGCTGTAATTGCGCTGTGGGCCCCTGTTGTTCCTGATGCATAAGTAATGTTCATCATCTGATCTTTGGCGTGGCGTTCAGACACTTTGGGAAATCAGGCGTTTTATGAGCGAAAATCAACAGTGAGAACGGAGTGAGTTTTACGTCTCAATCGCCTCATTCGTAACCGAGTGAAATGTCATAAAAGCGTCACATCTGCTGAGCTGTATCTCCCCCACTATAGAAAATTACACAGGAAATGGTTTGGGCTGAACAAAGGTGTTTATAAAGCGTTAACTTAAACCCAAAATGCCTCTTGTGAAGTTTAAGTCATGTTATAATGTTGTTACTAGAGCTGCTCGATTATGGAAAAAAATCACTATCACGATTATTTTGGTCAATATTGAAATCATAATTAACTCAAACAATATTTTTTTAAGTTACACGATCCATTTATTCAGCATTGCTTTCTTAAAAAAACACTTTGTTATTGATAATTTACGCAAAACTTTCAAATTGAACCTTAGAGCAGTTTTGCGATGTATAAAACAAAAAAAAAAATGAATAAAATATAGTTTGAACGTGAAATAAGGCATAGAAAAACATAAATGTATCCAAAATAAACAATATATCCAGCTGTTCTACAATCTCTATCTTTAAAAAAATAATAAATATACTTACTTATATTAAAAAATATCCCAAAATAAACTTGGTTAAGCTTTAAATTGTTTCAACTGGATTATATGAGATGGTAAATCGTTTGACACACAAATCAAAATCGCAATAAAAATTCAATTAATTGCACTGTCTAAGTTGTTGCCTCCTCAAAAAAAGACCTGGAGTTGTGTTTCGTTTCATTCACACATGTTTAAGTAACCCTTTATTATTAGTCTACATTTCCGAAGCTCAAAATGCTCTGTTCCACCTTGTGACATCATGAAGCTGTATTTTTTTTTTAAGTTACCAGCTACATTTTACCTTCAGTTCAGTAGAGATCGGCAATTCCAGGGCTGAAATGATCCAAATGATTCTAGTGAAGGTGCACGGAGTTTAAAAACACAGTGGAGCACTTCCTGTATCACCACATGACATCACAAAGTGGAGCAGTGGAGTGTTTTCTGTTTGAGAGATGCGCATGTGTGAATGAAACAAAACACAAGTCCATGTTTTTTGATGAGGAAACCACATTATAACGATCAGAAAAAAATGTAATACGGGCCTGTGTGTGTTCGTGTTCATGGGGACGCTTCCGGCTCCATCGACTCTGGCTCCAGTTTACTTTACATTGGAATATAAACCTGTGATTTTACTTTATTACTTATCTTTCTATTTTATTTTGACTTGTACAGATACATTTATATACTTATGTCTTTGTCGACACCTGTCTCTTGCTGTCTTTTTTGCCACTTACTAAGAATAAATTTTTTATATTTTTTACTCATTGTTATTATATTTTATTGTGATGAGTGAGTTACTGTGTCCAAATAATTTCCCTTGTGGATCAATAAAGTCTAAAATGTTCGTATTACCCGCTCAAAATGATCCTGGTGTTTTTATTTCGCAATTTTGTCCGTAAATAAATTCCAATTCCAAATGTGGACCTGGTTCCAAATTCTGCCGGTATCGCTGAGCTTCATTTGACTGGAGCTGAACACTATGGGTGACTTCAAACTCCCTTAGCCCACTTATTTATACAGTCTATGAAATTAAACAATCAGATATTCAGTTTATTTTTGTAATTTAAGCATACTAAAGAATATAACAATAATACTTTACTAATTAGTGAAAGCAATATCTATAGAAAATCACTTTAAAATACGACAATGTTTTTTTTTTTTTTCCTTCCATTGATTAATTCGAGATTTAATACATTTTTATTTACTTTTCCAATTAATCTTTTTACAGCTTTTAATCTTTTCACGAACACAAACAGCCCATCTTGATTAAAAACACCCAAGTTTATCATTGACAATATGAAATGATTGCATCTCGACGTGATTTAAAATTCAATTAACGTCACCGCCGTTCTTTATTACAGATCGCGTTTTCTTCAAGTTCAGAAATTTTGAAGTTCAGAAATATAATAATAATAATAAAGTTGCTATAGCGACCATTATAAATCAGACCGAATGTCGCCCCTAGCCCCTAACCCCCCCTTTTTCCTGAGGCTGTTGAGTTTTGAAGACTTCCTGCTTAGGCTGAAACTCTATCTTGCCACACATTTTTACTTGTACTTGTCTATTGGAACTGCTAAATGCTCTTAATGTACTTTTAATATTGCTTATTTATTATTGTTCTTGTCTCTTTTCATCACCGGGCCTCAAGGAACAAATTTCGTTTTGATTCGTTCAAATAAAGAACCTCGAAATTCGGAAAAGTCTAAAGGCAAAACTCATATAAAACTTGATTTCTGTCATACACAATGATCAGATCCGACTGGCACACGAGTGTTTACGGTCTAAAAATGGTGTGACTCCTATATACTGAACTAAAGTAAGGAATATGGATGGGACAAAATCTCGTGCCACAAGATCTTGCAAGACAAAACTGCCACAAGATCCTCCTGAATTTACCTTTACCTCAGACAAAAAAGGGTTAAGAGCTGGTGAGTTATGCAATTTGAGAAGCTGTAGTTGCAAAAAGCAGTACTACAATTACATAAAGTTCATAAAAATAGAGAAGTCAAAATTGTGAAATGATCTGCAATACTTATTTATTACAATTTATGTCAAAATCTCTTGGACCTAATCTTGTTTTGTCTCGTTCTCGTGGACCTGATCTCGTCTTGTCTCATTCTCGTGGACCTGTACAATCTCTACTTGTCTTATTCTCGTGTAAATAATCTCATTTTGTCTCGTTCTCGTGGACCTACATAATCTTGTTTTGTCTCGTTCTCATAAACCTAAACTCGTCTTGTCTCGTTCTCGTGGACCTACATAATCTTGATTTGTCTCGTTCTCGTAAACATTTAATAATCTCATTTTGTCTCGTTCTCGTAAACCTAAACTCATCTTGTCTCGTTCTTGTGGACCTACATAATTTTGTTTTGTCTCGTTCTTGTGGACCTAATCTTGATTTGTCTTGTTCTCGTGGACCTACATAATCTCGTTTTGTTTTGTCCTTGTGGATTTACATAATCCCATTTTGTCTCATTCTTGTGGACCTACATAATCTCGTTTTGTCTCGTTCTCGTGGACCTACATGATCTCGTTTTGTGTTATTGTAAACCCTAATTCTATCATTTAATCTCGTTCTTGTGGATTTAATCATGTCTTATTCTCATGGACATACCTACATTGTGTCTCATTCATTTCTGTTCTCATTAAACTCTCTCCTTAATCTCATTTTAATCTCATTTTGTCTCATTCTCATGGACCTGATCTTGTCTTGTCACATTCTCATGGACCTACATAATCTCGTTTTGTCTCATTGTCGTGGACCTACATAACCTCGTTTTATCTCGTTCTCATTGACCTAATATCGTTTTGTCTCATTCTCATGGACCTGATCTCGTCTTGTGTTAGTTCTTGTGTACCTACACAATCTTGTTTTGTCTCATTCTTGAATCTTTGTTTTTCTTGTGTACCTACAGAATCTTGTTTTGTCTCATTCTTGTGGACCTAATCTTGTTTTGTCTCGTTCTCGTGAACCTACATAATCTCATTTTGTCTCGTTCTCTGTCTCGTTCTCATGGACCTACATAATCTCGTGTTGTCTCGTTCTCGTGGACCTGATCTCGTCTTGTGAAAACTGCGCCTCGTCCCAGCCCAAGTAGGGAGTAGTGTTGAGATCCGGGCACGGCCTCAGTGTACGTACGTGTTTGGTTGCCCGCGGTGATCAAGGCGAAGCAGGAAGTGGCTGGTAAGGTCGTTGACGCGGATCCGGCGGGTTCCATCTCTGCCTCAGCTGCTCCTCACAGCGCCACGAGCCTCGGCCGCCCTCATGACCCCTGCTGACCTGGAGAAGAGACAGAGAGGACAAAGGTCAACAGGGTCAAACTCTGACAGCGCCGACTCCCGCTGACATCGTTCAAGGCAAGTCAGCAAGTCTGAAATATCTGAGCACTGGTCTCGGATGGCGTGAAAATGTGTGGTAAATTGAAAGTGTATTTCTAAAGCCCTGCGCGCGCCAATGTTATAAATAATGTATGAAGGCAGTAGAGGCAAAAGGAGATGAGCCCCTGCCAACCTCGTAAAAACCAAATATTAGGTATTCACAGAGCAGATCTCAACCCAAAACTCACACCCACTGGCTTTTGGTACCATATAAATTCCCAGTCTTTGCGTGTATATATTGTAAACGAGAGATATAAATGGAAAAACAGATAATAGTTTTGAAGATGCGCAAAATTAGAATGTCGAGTGTGTTGTTGATAATTAAAACGATTAAAATTAGCTCAAAAGAGACAGAAATAAGGGATTAACGAGAGATTTCTGTGATTTTGTGGTTGATTTTATGGTCCTTTTTTTGCGAGGCTTGAACCACAACCAAGACAATTACAGATTACAGAAATTTTAACACCTTCTTGACTCTATGTTCAAATATTGGCTGAAAATTGTTGCCAAAAAGATGCGAAAAAATATCAAAGTATTCATTTCTGTTCAATTTTGTAATCTTGTAATATATTGTACTATGTATTTTCTGTTGGATTCCTCCCTTCCTTTAGAGATAAGCTTCAGTGCGGTTCGTTTTGTAGAGTTTTGGAGGCACACTTCAGCAAATTCCTGATACTTTGTTAAAATATTGTTTGAATATTGTTATCAAGCAAAAAAATAAAACTAAAAATACAAAAATTAACAAAAAAGTTGTTCATTTTTGTTAATATTGTCCGCCCAGTTTTGCAGGCACACGTTTTCCAAATATTCTTAACATAATGATGTAAAAAATAAATAAAATAAACATAAATAAAAATCAAACTGCTAATTTCTATCAGTATTGTCCACTCGTATATTGCATGGATTCCTTTGGCGATACGATACAGTAGAGTCTGTTGTTTCACAGGCACACTTTAGTATATCTTTAGTATTTTACTATTGCTATCAAATAAAGAAAATCAATGAATTTATTAATTATGATTCTATTAATTGCTGTCAACATCGCCCACCCATAATTAATCGTACATTGTATTGATTCCAATGGAGGTCGGCTACAGTACACGTTGTGATATGAGTTATGAAGGCACCTTTAACAAATTCCTGATGCATTGTTAAAATATTATACGAATAAAAATAAATCAATAAATATTAAACTCATTCCTGATTCATTAAAACTGTTGTCTAAATATTGTTATAAAAACATTTTAAAAATAAAACTCAGATATTGTCCAATGGATTGTATTGATATTACGTCATGATAATTTTGAAGGCACATTTCAAATCCTGAAAAAATTAATAAATAATAATAAAAAAAACTTTAGACAATTCCTGATTCATTAAAACTATCATCCAAATATTGTTATATATATAAAAAAATAAATAAATAAAAAACACTATTAATTTCCGTCAATATCGCCCACTCATATATTGTCCATTGTATAATATTGATATTACGTCACGATAGTTTTGAAGTCACACTTTAGGAAATTCATGACTCACTGTTAAACTATAATTTTATTTATATTATATTATTTGAATTGTATTGTTATTACGAAGCAGAAAAACTAATTAAGATATCCGTTTTGGTCAATATTGTCCATCTTTAATATATTGTACATTCGTTCCATTGCGGATAAATGTCGTGATATGAGTTTTCCGAGCATTCTTAAGCAAATTTTTGATTCACTGTTAAACCGTCAGTCAGAAATGTATAATCTAAGTCAAGCTATTCCTTTCTGTCAATATTGGACACACATAAAATACTGTACATTAGTTCCATGGTAGATAACAGCGCACGACATCATGAACTATCACTCGAAAACTATTCTCTGAGTCAATATTCCCACGTATAACACATTACACAATCTCTACATCCTTTCGAGATAAGCTCCAGTGCTTGTACGTTGTGACGGAGCGTTGCATTGTGGGTTGTTGGCGAGGTAGACGTGTGCAAATGTCAACTCCGTCTCACCACTCCAGTCTCCATGAATCATTTATGACCAGTTAGATTCTCGGTCTCTGTATTTTCGTAAGCCCCGAATTAAAGTCTATTCAGTTAATTTGCCTATCGCCTCTGTTACCCTTACCCTCCCTCCCTCCTTCCTTCTTTCTTTCTCTCATCCCTCTCTCTCTATCTCTCCATCTCTTCGTCTTTCGCTAATCCATATTTGAGGATTGAAGCCATGCTGGTACTGGCACCCAACGATGCCAATGTGTGCGCCCAACCTGGACTTCCAAGATCCGCCCAAAAAGGTCAACTCCTCCAAGTGTTCCTCCTCCTCCTCCTCACTCTCTCCTTCTCTCTCTTCGCTCCTCAATCTCTCTCATCTCGGTAACGGCAACGAAGACAAGCGAAAATTACAGTGCCAAGCTTTAAAATGTGTGAATTGTCGCGGCGAAATCAAACGAAATCGTGATTTGAATAGACAAAATTAGCAAAAACGATAAATAATTTCTGCATACGAAAACTGCTTTGAAATGTGATTCTCGTATTAGTTTGTCTGTCAAAATTTCAGTCTTTTTGGCGCGTTAAAAATGTGAACTTTGAACAAAACCCTAGAATTAAAACTCCAACTTCAATTCGATATTTTCCGCAAACCGCCACCAACGAAAACAAACTCTCTATGACCTTAACCCCGCGATCTTCCACCAAACTGCAGTCTTCCAACAGTAAATTGAAATGAATGTACAAGCTTTTCAAATGCCAGTAGCGCTTTTCCATAGCATTCGCTGGTAATGATCGGTTGCCCACGGCGACTCATCCATATTAATGCTAGTTACACTGGAAACATTACAAAACCGGCTGGTAGTCAAATTATCGCCATTACCAACACTTTTTACATACATTTCTCAACATATTTCAAGGCGTAATTTTTCTTAAGAGGAGATTTTTTCATAAAATCGAACCTGATCGCGTTGAAATTTTAAATATAAGGCTATTTTTTCCACTATTCTAGCCCGTCTACATGGCTCTGCAGGTAGCTTTTTTAGTCTTTCTGGCGCGTAGACTTCAAACTGTGCATCCAGACACTGTTACGCATTCAAAACCCTCTTTCCTTGTTTTGACAGATGGCCAAAAAATGTTGAAATTTTCTCGCTCGTTTCAATAGACCCCCGCTTTTAAACCTGGGATTTCTAACAAAGACGACTGGCTGGGGAGAAGTTGCGCTGTTCGCTGTGGTGTTGAGTCCTTCGCCGGTAGGGAGTGGTTCATTGGTATTACAGCAGTTACCGCGGAGACAAGCCTTTACAAAAAAAAAAAAAAAAAAAACTGCAAAGAAAAAGAAAGAAAAAAACACAGCGTGGCAGGTTTCAAACACGAAAAGTAGCTGTCATATATGCAGACGATTTACAATTCAAATGAACACAGCGCAATTAATATTTTGAGTGACAGCTAGACAAAGCGCTACAGAAATCACACACAATGCATTCTAGACATTTACTTTTTGCGTATAGAATTATTTTTATTATTATTATAGCTATGTCCGCTCAAGAAATCTCAACTTTCTATTACCTTATTCTCAAATACTAATTCTCAAAAACAAAGCTGAGGAATCTAAAAGTAAGTAAGCAAGATTTGGACATGATTTCAGGGCGAAAAAACGCAAAAAAAAACAGTCAAACCGGTTGCGTTTTAGAGCTTGAAGTCCCCCGATTCTAATCATAAAATAACACTGTTGACGGCTGGTTGGAGATGGTCTGATTTTACTCGAGTGAGACATGAAAGGAGGAGAGGAGCAGATCCAAACAGCTGGGAGACTGTCGCCGTGGACGCAGAATACAAAGTAGTTTTGTGTCACCAAAGCACAGCAAGCTTACTCTCTCTTTCTTTTCTTTTTTCCCTCTTTCTTCCTTCCCTCTTTATTTCCATGACAAAGCCGACGCGCGGAGCCAAATCTGCCATATTCAAAAACATGGCTTCAATAATGAGATAAAACGACAGGCGTTATTAGGAGAGGTGCACGCGCGCAATCGTGTCGGAAAACCGATACATTTCGCTTAGAGGTTTCGCGCAACTGAGCGACTAATCTGCCGTTTTCTCGACGTTTCTGCTAATTGCGAAGAAGCAGGTGGAATCACTGACAAGGGAGCTGCGTAACTGAAGCACTGACGGGATAAAAGTGAAAGGCTAAGACGTGATATCAGTCGGGTTTTCGAAGAGGTCCGCCGGTTCAAAGAAGCGCCCGATTGAATTAAGCGAAAACGCGGCTAAATGACCGCAAACGAGCCGCTAATTGCGCCGGTCGTCTTTGCCTCGGGGGGTCTCAACGAAGGATTAATAAAAGAACTCGAGAAAGGTGCGTAAAGGAAAAAGGTGTGTGTGTGTGTGTGTGTGTGCTCGTGCGTTCTCCAGCTACCTCTAACTACACAGACAGTCAAAAAAAAACACAATAAGCAACAAAAGATTTTCAGAAACATGCAACTCCAGCAGTTTGGTCTTAATCGGCAACCGCATTTTGACAAAACTTCCGAAGTCATTAAAAGTCCATTATGCGCACAAGCACCTGCACTTCAAACCGAGGGGAGAGGGGAGCAAAAAAAAAAAAAAAAAAAAACGCAGACAAAGCTTTTAACGAGCAAATCTTGGTTAATTATAATGAAAAGCAGTAGTAAGTAGCAGAGAATGAGATTAGAGCAGATCTCGCTGTGCTTAAATTGTAAGGACACAGAGCACGGGGACCACCAGTTGTGATGTTACGGTAAATTTAACGCGCCAAGACATCTCATTATGTTACAATAGCGTGCCACCTTCGGTATAATTTAAAAAGAAAAAAAAAAAAAGCATGGTGCAAGAGCTAATGGAGGAGAGAAAAGAAGAAATAATTACGGAAAATGAGAATTGAATTTCGGGTACCTACCGCT